AGTACGTTGGCCGACTTCCCTGGTTAGAGGTGCCACCAACCAAAAAACTCATGTCGATGCCATTTATTACTCAACACTGCCTTCCTTTAATTACCACTCCAAATACGGACCCCGCTAAATCTAGTTTTTTTTTCAGCTCGAAGCCACAGAAAGGCCTCAAGTGCTGACTTCGCGGTTATTCCCCTGAATATGCGGGTATGGTAACGGACCACCAATTCCTTCCCCATACTACGTAGTGGGTACAGCTAAACCAGAATTTTCATTTGGGAGGTTGAGTCAAAAATCATATTCGGAGAGTCCCTCCATGACTACTTGCTAGGTGGAACATCCTTCATATAAAATAGTCCAGTGGATAAGGAGAGCGCCATGAGCCTAAGGTGCGCAGTTCGGTTTGGTGGGGGTAGCGAATGGTACGATCTCCTCATTCCTGTTCGGCTCGGTGGCTCATGAAATGGTACTTAGCTAAGCTTGTAAGGCCACCCAGTGAAAACTCGAAGGCTTTTCTTCGCAGGTTTTCGACCGATTCACCTCGTTAATTCCCCATATCCCCGCTTATACCATTCTACTTGCAGTTTAGACCTAGTATCAAATTAACGTGCCATATGCCTTAAGTGGGTCAAAAAATAGGAACAAGAAATAAAGCATAGCAAATAGTAATGAACAAATAAAACAGTTGGGCTTGGGAGGGGCATTTTGCAGTACAATAGTTCCTTTTACTAGTTTATGTAGAGTAGCAGGTCTCGTTTTGGCGAGACCTGTAAACTCTGCTGAAGCTGGCAATGGTACAAGTGAGTCAATTCGGTTAAAAGAATTCACAGGTCTTCACAAGGTGGCCTGTACAGGCTTCGCTGAGTAGTCCCCACCAAGCCGCAGTTCGCCGGCCATTCCAATTCTGTTGCCCCACCAAGCCGCATTTCGCCGGCCTTACAATTAATTGAAGATTGTCATCATGTAGAACTTAGCATTTCAAAGTCTAAGATTTTTTTACACGAATTAATATCCCTGCGAGTTATCTTTGAAATGGAAGCAATTCTCGCACTAACGACGAGAGGAAAAGCTTCCTCCTGTCTCCCCCTCCCCCCACCTCAAATAATCTAAGAGGTGACCCATGGCTGTGCAAATATAATCATAAAAGATCTCACTTGGGATAGTACAGAGCAATGTTCCGGAAAGAAGGCGTCGAAATCGCCGCGAACAAATCTGTTACAGATGAGCGATTTACCGACACCTTTAACGCCTTTGACTGCCTCACGACCACTGACACCGATCACGCTGACGGTGATCGTACGCTGCATCACAGCATGTTATCTGAAAAGGAAAGGCGATAAATTCGATCGAATCAATGAGTCTCAAAAGTCGTCGAGCAATCGATAACATAAAAGGCACTTGAAATGCGTTTAACGTGCAGAATAGAGAGCTTAATAGTAGTCGATAAGCAGGGTACAGTATCGTGATGTGTGAAAGGGGGTATGTGACAAGAGAATCGTAATTTGCCGCGCTGGTTTGCGTCGCGTGCGACGTCGCGCCCGCAAATGACGATGGCTTCCAGGTAGTAGATGGCGACAACAGGCAATTCAGAACCGAAAATAGTCATGTCTACGATGACGGGGTCTACATGAAGTCCGGTGCTCCAATCGACAGGTTAACACGAGTTAAGAAAACGCCGCGCCCATCGTGCGCGGCTGAGCGGCAAATTACGATTCTCTTGCCCGTCTCCCGTGAAATGGTGGTGCCGGTACGACCCCCCACTCCCTCTCGAGGGAGGTTTTTGGTACGACACCCCCACTTTTCCCAGCTTCTACCTACCGCTTTCCCACTTTTTCCAGTTTTTCACCCAAATATATTCCATCGAGCGGGAGGGGGTGTAAATAGTACACATGACACAAGAAAAATCACGCGAAACGTCAACAATCGGGAAAATTTTTTTCCCAACACGCCAAAACCTCCCCCAACCAACCGCCAAATACGACCCACTATGTGTTTTACAATGATTCTGTACCCTGTCGATAATACAATGACATACGAGTCTAGCCGACGCGGTGGGTCCCATTAATATTCAGAAGCTCGCTCTACGTAGCCGAGACGGGAACATTAATTGCTACCTATGTAGAAGTACTCACAACATAGTAAAAGTAAAAGCAAGACATGAGAGGGCAGGGCAACTCATTCATCATTCCACAGATTATTAGGGGTTTTTAAGACGCTTCATCTGGATGAGGTCGAGTTCAACGAGAACAGCATCAAAAACCAGGGACCATGCACATTCACCTTCAAGGACGGTCGTTTCCATGATCGAGATGAATGGGTCCGCAGCTGCAATGGCGTGCCATTGTCTTCACTCAAAGATGCACGAAAACTGGGCTGTAGACAAGGTATCCGAGCGCCGTTTCCATACTCCGCCCGCGCTATCCTCAAAGTGCAGCCCTCCGTAGACATCAAGGTCTCGCCGTAAACACATACTCAGCGGTAGGGAACAAACAGTAGTGAGAGGACGCAGACAAGTGACGCTTTCGGCTACGATTCAGCAGCATTCCGATTCCGCGATGACGCGCGTCGAAGCGTTGCTAATGCCGCTGCAATGCGTCGATGCGCTTACAAATGCAACGGCGCGCTATAGACGCAAACGCAGGTGCAAACGATCGGTGAAGATCAATACAGGGGCACCACTGCTCTTCAACCTCGTTTTGGGCAGTTTTGAGCGGAGAGTGGCACGCTACCGCAGCTGGGGACCTATTCACCTCACACTTACTAAGGATCAGGATTATTTGAGGGATGTTTTTGAGCGGTTTCTTTTGAAAAAGCATAAAGTGTCTCAGCGCAAGCACGCGACTGCGAAACAAGCGCGCAAAAAGAACCGCGCTATGATTCAGGGCCTTCATTATTGTAAAACGTCCATGCCGCTTCAAGGTCCAATACGTAGCTCAAAGGCTCCGTAGAAAGGTCAAAGTACCTCCAGTTAAGCGCTTTCTTCAGAATTTGTTTCACTCATATGCTGACATTCAGACATATCCTGGCTGGCAAGGAAAAGAAACATACCATAAGCCATTCCATAAGAGATGGACTTTCGCACAGAGGGTGCTCCACGGCAGTAAGGGAAACTGGCTGCTTAGCGGCACCCTGCTGTAGTTGAATAAATAAGTGAATACATTCATTTTTAGCGCCAATGTCCGCTCTACCGTGAAGGAGGCTCAGCCCAGAAGAGGAGATTTTAAAGGGCCAGTTAGCACGATGGTTTCCCACTCGGCCTAAAATGCTAGTAGGGCGCTGTGTAGTGGGAAATGGCGAAAGAACGGAGTGAAACGGTCAAAATCCGGCGAAGAAAAGCCTCCGTTCTCAGTGACTTGTAAATCGATTTCGGACGAGTTTCCCGTACGCATCTTGCCAATCATCCGCTATCGAAGATACGGCTGCATATGTGTACCCATATATGCATGCAGCATCACCGCCGCTTCATACCAATCCCTTTGCTTCATAATTTGCTCAGCAAATGAATGAATACGAGCGTCAGGAACGGTCGTCCGTTTGTGGGCGGGCGAGGAAGGCGTTTGGGACGGAATGTTGTTGCTCGATAGGGCGTTATAGGGGTACCCTCCTTGGAAAAGGCGCCACGGAGCCTGTCCGAGGTCACGGAATTCTGTTAAGCCAGTCGTATAAATCCTACATCTGTATAGCGATTTATCGTGCCAACTGCCTTTAACGAATTTAGCGTCTATAACTTATCTCGCTACAGAGATTTAAGATTCAGTCTTGCTCGCCGCGGATGAAAATGCGTATCAGTGGGGCAGAGTTCGGCGCGCCTTCAGAACGTTCTCCACAGGATGTTGAAGCGTCTAAGTGACAAAAACTGGTAGGAAATAACCGACACGAACGATGTGATACGTCCTTTTCCTTGTCGCAAGGAAAAAAGGGAGAAATGGGCTGGCACCGGGCCAAACCCACTTCCTGTGACACGCCCCATCACATCCAGCTAACAAGAGTATAACAAATTTGGGTTCACATTTGTAACTAACATTTAATACCTCATTGATTCACTAGGTATGCAGTTCATGGGGATATAAAACCTTTATGGTAAAATCGCAAAAACTGAATGC